GTGGGGGTGTGTGTGTCTGTGTGTGGTGTGTGTGTGTGGTGTGTGGTGTGTGGTGTGTGTGTGTGGTGTGTGGTGTGTGGTGTGTGGTGTGTGGTGTGTGGTGTGTGTGTGTGTGGTTATATCTGGTCTCTCAGTGAGGTGACCACTCCCAGGCTCCCAGCTAATTAGGATATAACAGACTTCTCAGCTCAAAAGAAGAGCTGATCTTTAAAAAGTCTTAAAATACTTGCTAATAGAACATGGCAACACGTACTGATTTAAGAATTACTGTTTACATTTAAAAGTCATAAAAAGATGAGTTCTAGACCCAGAAAACAAAATGAGTTAAGAAAAAAAGAACCACATTTTAATAAATATATAAAACCTCAGGACACAAAATGAAGGTTGACTACATTTCATATTCAATATCTATATTTGAATGGTAGTGAAAAATAAAACATTTCCTCAGGCAGACTCTTCTAGAATTAATTTTGTATCCAAACATTACAGAATGGAACATATTCTTTTAACAAGCATAATTTTAACTACAATGCCTGTTTGGCATTTAACCACCAAACTGCTTTGAGTCCTGGAGAAATTTTTAGGTATCTATCCACTATTTACTTTAAACTTCATTCTGTGGGATTCTGTTCCAGCTAGTCTTTGTGAAGCTTGTGCCAGTGAACATGTTTTCTATAAACAGCAGTAAAAATGTATTCCTATTTTCTGCAAATAAATATGCCGTCCATCCTTCTGGCTCATTCTGTTCCTTATTTGAACTATCCCTCTCTCTGTCATCCTTCTATTAGGTACAAGATGAAATATGTATTTAATCATGAGGCCACTTAATCAGTAGATGGTAGTTTCATGATTTGTTTATGGTATTAAAACATAAAATAATGATCACTAAGATTGCTAACACCTCATAGGAACTGGAAAGCTCTTAATTCTGCTGTCAACCACTTAAGAATTGTGTTCTAAGTTGTGATGAGTACAAATCGTCCAGATTGCTTTAAACGATTACTGACTTTGCAGAAGACAAAACTTAGGTGCAATAAACAAAGCAGGGTTCTCTTCTTGGTGAGAA